GGGAGGGAGGGAGGGAGGGAGGGAGGGAGGATGGATGGATGGATGGATGGATGGATGGATGGATGGATGGATGGATGGATGGATGGATGGATGGATGGGAAAATATTTGTAGCCCTGCCCTTCTCCTTAAAAGGAACCCGAGGCAGCTTAAGTCAGTGGGTTGCTTTACTCCATAAAAAGGATCCAAGGGTTGCTACCTAATTGTCTCCTCCACCCCACCTCCACCGCATGTGCTGACATGCTCTCTGTGCAGGAATATCATAATCTGATGTCGCATTAATAGGTTCAGGTCAAGCCAAGCAAAGAGGACAAGCATCAGCTATTCAAAAGCCGCATGCTAGAAAGCCAACCTTTAGAAGAGAGGCTATAAAAATCAATGCATCATTACTGGAAATATCCCCTGGTATTAAAAGGCAACAACAGTACAATTATCAAACGCCGGCATTGTATTTGTCTCCGTTTGCAGTCTGCTCATGTGCCGTGGTCATTATCAATTTTTAATTAGGCGAGTGCCATTCAGCTAGTTAAATAAGAAGTGAAAAGAGTTCCTTGCATGTGCCGGAGAGAATGGGAGAGAAAGGCGAGGCAAAGGGAGGGGCGGAGGGGGGGGACCCTCACCAGAGAACAAAAGTACAAGAGTGTAAAACATTTAAGAGCAGTTACTGCGTAAAGGGTTCCAGATGGGAGGAGTTCGGCACAGATGTGTGCTATTTTCAGGACTCCAGTCAATCAGCGTTGCTACAAAATTGCACATTAATGAATTAAACAATCACAAGGCTTTGCCGTTTTCTTTGGTGATAGCAGTTGCAGTGGAGAGGGATGGAAAGGGAGTGGGGAAATAGCGGTGGGGGGGGCTGGATATCACCATTTAGCAAGCCTGAAAGTCTCTTCCCAACTTTGCAAAACCCTCCTGAATTCTTAAAGAGGACCTTTACAGGACAACAAAGGAACTGTGTGATTGCCATCTTTCCCTCTCCGATACCCTTTACCATATGTTCTTCATGGTGGGGTGTGTGTGTGAAACAAGAGGACTGGGGAGATGCACATATAGTGGGCAAGTGTCTCTCCCTGTAAAGGTTGCCAGAACAGCAGCATCCCATTTCCTGAGATATCAGGGCCAAAACTTGATTCAGGCCCACGGAGGAGGGCCCTTTATGATGTCACAGAGGCAAAACAAGGCGGCACAGCCCACATAGAAATGCTTTCCATTTGAGCCATTGAGCGGCGGCATCGGTTGGAGAGGGCTGGAAATGGATGCTTAGACACCTAAGAAACAAACATCTAAATTTCTCCTCCAGTGCTCTACACTCTTCCCATTTGGAAGTCTGAGAAAGCACAACAATTCCCTAAAGCACCAGCTAGATTCCTGAGACCTGGAAAAGTTCTGTCTGGGTCTTAAGAGCTACTCAATAGATGTTCCTTCGACCATCATCTCACAAGGTAACATGAGACACATATCCTTTCCGGGGATGGTCCTATATTTCTCGTATACCTCCTCAAGATTAGTTGAGCCTTTTCTCTGGAACATCCCCTCCCAAGACATGGAAAATTGTCTCTTTCAACAGGATTTCTTCATTTGGTATTTTATTGCTATACTTTAGAATGCTGCTTTATACTTTATTTATGGTACTATTCAAGCATGCATTTCTTTCTGTCTCTCACTCACACACACCCCTTCCTATATTTCTTACATTGTATAGCTGCTCTCAGTACCCTAAAGGCAGAAGATCAGGATATAAATAAATTAAATGGCTCACATATAAAAGTAAGTTAATTTATTTATAGCTCACTCTCCTTCCTGCCTATAGAATTTAGCCTTACAGGAATGCCCAGTAGCAAAACCCAGGTTTCCCCACTCCTCCGTCCTTGAGTATGGATAAGAAAAGCAAAAGAATGGGGGACCTAAAAGCATCTGATTGATAGTTGGAAGTGGTGCTTCTGCTACGTGTAAAGGCCGAGTTGTTGAAATGAGTCCAGATGACAAAACACTATTTGTCCTGACCTGGATGGTTTGAACAAACCATAGTTTAAACAAACCTTGATCTGAACAAACCATGATTCAAATTTTAAGATGTCCTCACCACTGAAACAAAAATTGTGTGCCATCAATCCCAACACAGAGCAATCCTTCCCAGGTACAAAATATTTCAGATGTTCTAGGTTGCTTGTCTATAAAATATTCAGAAAGAATATTACAAATCCCTCCTTGTGGTAGTGTTCTGGGACCAAGTGGCTTGCCCCAAGGCCTTACATGTAACAGGATATGCAACCTTGTTAGCCACACATGTTCCAGGTGATCTCAAATGGTCCTTCTCAAGGGAAGCACAGTGCGGGATCAAACTCCCCACCCTTGGTTCTATAGCCAGACATTCCAACTCACTGAGCTATATTAGTACAAACCATCACTAATTGTAATTTTTGTATATATTGTATTGTTTATATTATACTGGAAACTGCCTAGAGTGGTCTTTTAGGCCAGATGGGTGGGGTATAAAACAAACAAACAAATCAATAACTTCCTGAAAGCATGCTAGAAGAGAAGGGGAAAGGGGTTGCAAAAGTCTTAGCCTAACTAATGGAGTGCTAACCTGTGATTTAGCTTAACATTATAAAGCAATATAAAGGGCACCACTCAAAAAATCTACCAGTCCCTAATTCTAGGGACTTGTATCCTCGTCTTTAGGATGCCACAAGATTGTGCATTGCTTTAGAGAAAGGAGAAAGTCTTAGATTTTCTCTGATGCATCTGGATATAATAATAATAATGGTAATAATAGCATCTCTACTTTTCTTCTTTTTATTGTTGTTTAACCTAGGCCCAGGAGCAGTACACGATGGCAACAGTGCAGCTTCCAGAGCGATGGCCTGCGTCTGGCTATCAGGCGCCCTCTTGGCTTATTTCCTCCTCAAGTTTTGATAAGAAAAGTGAGGGTCCTTGCAGACGATGCCTGGCTTCTCCCACACCACAGACTTTTAACCATCCATCCTGCTGGGGCAAGGGGGGAGGGGGGCAACCAACGAACAAACCAACAGCCTGCAGCTTGAAAATACTGCCGGGAGGGCAAAGGGTGGGGGAGGGAAACGGGGATCAAAAGTCAACCCACCCATTAGGAACAAATGGTCAATCATGGGCATTTCCCAAAGCAGAATCGATTTTAATTTCCTTCCTTCACCCTAACCCCCCACCCCAGCCCCACTTGTCAAAAATACCGTATTTATAAATGTCAGCCTCTCATTTCTACTGTCAAGCATTTCTTGGGTGAGACAGTCACAAGATCCCAGGAGAAGGTGGAGGAGGAAGACGTGTCTTGGTCAGAGAGAGAACGCACAACAGGAATATAAGAGCAAGGTTTTTTTTAAGAAAAGTTCATCTTGTCTCTCAAGGAAAAGGATTGCCGTTGTTTTCCTGCTTGTAATACTGTACATACCCGTTCGTGTTGCTTCAGATGTCTGATTGCCTTCAGGTTTTCACTTCGCTTCTCTCTGGGTGATGTTTTAATAAACTTGCAACCCGGCGGTCACAACAGTCCTCTGCCTCCTCCCCAGGATGTGGGTTATGCTGGAAGCATGAGGGCCAGGCCAAGCCGCCTGTGTAACACACAGACCACAACTTGGCTGAGTGCAGGGAGGGGAGGAAAGACAAGGCACAGCCACCACCAGTCTCTTGAAAATGATACTGGCCATGCATCCCTCCAGTTTATCAAAATAATCCTGTCCATTCACCCATCTGCCTTTCGAGTCATCTATTAGCTGTCTTTATGATTGCATTATTTGGCAACGTTGATTTTTTTTTAAAGCCAAACCTTTTTTTCCATGTCTCCACCCATCCATTCCTATAATCACTTTGAGTCTCATTTCCACATGGACAGCCTTTCCTTTCCCCTTGTTCTATCCGTTACTCTTTCAAAAATTATTTTGCAGCCTAGTAGTCTCTTTTGCTGCAGAAGGGGAGACACAGAGGCCGCTCATGTAGGTACCTTGACTAGTCAAAACTAGTAGCACAGATGAACACAAGCGCACATTTAGAACCTAGTGGGGTCAAAGACAAAAGCACAGCTTTTGGTGGTACTCCATCACCAACTTGCCTGTTGATATTGGTGAGGTTTGGGGCCTCCCACATTCTTGCTGTAAGACACGCTAAGCGCATCTTATCCCTAAGGAGAAATCTCCTGTTCCGAACTCTGCCTTAAAAGCAATCATCTGCAGGAAATGCTGTGTTTTCATTTGCAGTCCTTCTGTTATCTCTTCTGCAGCTTTGTACTGCACATAGACATTCATAGAAGGCTCATCTTCTTTCACTCTCCTAACATCAAGGGATAGCAATGTTATCAAAGTTTCTCCAGACCCTAAGTCTGATCACCCTTCCCACCACGACCTCTCACTCCATAGTTCACAAGTCAGTTCACCAACAAGTTGATGAAGACCAATTGCTCTAATGCAGACCGATTAATTTGTTAGTGTGTTTGGGATGTTCATCCTACAGGTATATGGGAACCTCTTCTGAGTAGAGGGGATTTGAACACTGAAATTTATTTCCAAGTATTAGATAAACTTTGGTGGTGGGGAACCAAAAGAGAAGCTGGAAAGAAAAACAGATTCACTGTTTTCTCTCTTTTTGATGACTGTTATTCAAGCCTTGGAAACAACAGAAGAAACTTTCAAGTCATAGTTTTCTAAAGGAGAACAATAGCATCAGCTGTGGTTTGGGGTTTCAGCCTGCTAAGAGTTCCAGCCCAGCCCACTCTTTGCTTGTATGACACACAGTATGAGCTACGAAGAAAAAGCTGCTTCTTTCATTACAAACCATTACAAGATGAAGGGTTGCTGCAGGGAGAAGTTTGAGTGTTATATAAGCAAAGGAGAGATCTTTTTTTTTTTTTGTGATGGGACATTTGGGTAATCTATTTTAACCATTACAAGATGAAGGGTTGCTGCAGGGGGAAGTTTGAGTGTTATGTAAGCAAAGGAGAGATTTGTTTTTTGTGATGGGACGTTTGGACTTAAAAACAGGATGTTGACCATGTGGCAGGCCAAGCTAGGAGAGGTACAAACGGGTCAGCATTCCTAAACTGAACTATAAAGAGCAAACCTCAAACCATGCTCCAGGAGAAGTTGAACAAATCAGATGCCTAGAATAATTTCACAGTCTCTGATGAGCCCCTCTTGTCTGGGGAACCAGTTAGCTGTGTTTCTGATCCATGCCATTGCTTCTGTTGCTATACCATCTATGTCCATGGCAGGGACCAAGATGGAAATTAAATAAAGGATCCCAACACTGCATTTTTTCTTTTTGGTAGTCTTCTCCAATAGGTCTCAAGACCATCCCATAGAAGCCAAGACTGAGAGGCCCAACAGTACCCTGAAAGCAGTAAGGAAGTATCATGCCCATTGTACTGAGCTGCTATCAGCCACGTCTTGGGAACAGTAAAATGACCTTGTGGATTTCAAGTGACTGGTGCTGATTCCCATAATTGTCAGTGCGAACAATCAAAAAGTTGTGCCATTCAAGGTGTTTAAATTATCCAAACATGTAAAGCAAAGGAATGAATGATTTAGAAGTCTGGTATTTAATTATACAAGGCTAAACATTTGGGTGGTATATTCATATATTTAAAAAGGATGGAATGGTCAGGCATGAAATGAATTGTGGAAGTAAATCCACCACAATGGCATCATCACTGAATGTACAGACTTTGCTTCCCGCAACTTATTTTTCTGCCCAAAGAGGCATGCTTCCTTTCACATCTCAAACAAGACGTTGTCGCATTACTTCTGGGGAAAGAGAGTGCAAGACAGACAGAGAAACCTAAGAAGCTTGGCTTCCACAACCATTTAGCTGTTTTGTCAATGTCACTGTACAATTTCCTTCCCATACTGGGATGGGAAGCTACTGTATGTTCCTTAATCTCCTCTATCTGCCATGGAGGGAAAACCTTTAAGTGGAAAGTGCTCATACAATGAAGTAGATTCTCTAGTCCATGAAAGTTTCTGACACAATAAAGTGGTTGTCTTTCAGGTGCCACATGATTCTTTGTTGCTTTCTGCATGAAGAGGTTAATGTCACAAAATCATTTGGATCCTGATTCGAGCTCTACAAGAAAACATGCAGCAGGATGCTTTAACACAAAAAGTTTTGAGCCCCTGCATACATTGCATTGGTAGGTGAGGCCAAAACCCATCTTACATTCTGCATTCAGTAATATCCTTCAGGTATAATGGCTTTCTCCCTCACTTCTAAGAATATAGAAAAGGTGAATTTGGAATTTGGCTTGCCCTCACTGCAGCAAAAGGTGATTAGCTTGTACTGAAGGCCTTCTAATGAAATCTTCTATACACATGCAACAAACATTCACCATTCAGCTATATTCTATGCCAGCTCAGGTCACACTCAAATGGACCTAGCCTTGGACTAGAAATCATTGGATACAAATCAAGACCCTGTTGTTCAGAGGCTGTCAACATGATTACACAAATTTTGAGAATCTCTTTCCCCCCAAAGATGTAGGTAAGTATGAAAGAACTGTGTGTAGAAGTAAGAAGGTTGGCATTAAAAATAAGAATAATTGGATATTACTATGTAGAAGGTTAGTGAGCAACCAGCTCTAGGAAGCTAAAGTTAGGGAAGTCCATTCTACCAACACTGCGTCCTCTTTGCATGCCTAGTTTTGGAATCTAGTCTTAGAAGAAGAGAAACTAAGCCCTGCAGATCCATTGAAGGTTTTCATAAAAGAAGGTGGAAATTCCTTCCAGAATCATGTGCACTGAAGTGCTGGTGACATGCCATGTACTGTTTGCTTAATAGCAGTTAACGTTAAGTGCCTGATGTGTGATGTTTGCAAGTATTTTCCAAATGCATTTGGAAGAATGCCATTTGGCTTTATGAAAATGTTGTGCACTTTGAGGATCGGAAAACTCCATGCACTGCCTGTCTGGTAGAAACCTTTCCTATGTTTCAGAATGGCACCGCAAAGAAGGGCCTCCTTGAATCTCAGTGAGGTCTTGTCTGAAGCTCTGGCTCCAATGAAATGAATGAAGATGGTGTACCAGCAAGACCAGTGGGTGAAGTAACACCCTTTGGATATTAATTAACCTTAGCACAGTTATCTCAGCTAAAGTCCATTCATTCCAGTAAAACTGTGTGCAAGGAACTGAGCACACAATTGTAACCACAAATCCTAATCTAAGGGGGAAAAAAGTCATTTGCTTATGTCTATTTGAAATCAATGGGACATGCTGTACATCAGTTTTAGTTCAGTTTTCTGAAGCCTGCTCAATATAAATGTCATATACAGGGCCTTTCCTTCAGAGAACCTAGCGGGCTGCCTTACAAAGTAGGATCATGTCTTGTTAAAAACTCTTCTGGGTTTCCGAGAGGGACCGTCTGCATGCATGGCATTGGCTCCATCGCGGGCTGCCTTACAAAGTAGGATCATGTCTCGTTAAAAACTCTTCTGGGTTTCAGAGAGTACTTGGACTTGAAGGAGGGATCTTCTGCATGCATGGCATTGGCTCCATCATACAGCAAAGCACTGTCCCCTCTAATTGCTTTGTAATATCTAATATGTCTTTCTGCATTAGAAATAACCTCTCCCTCTGCATTCCCATTCAAACTGGCAAGGGCAAGCCAGGAAATAAAATGTGAGCAGCTAAAAGAGCACTTTAAACTTCACGTACTGGAAGGGATAAGGGGATCCAAATTGTGTTTGAGAACCTTATGTCCCAAGGAACACATATGTCCTTGAAACCTGAGGATGATTTGCACCTTGAAATAAACAGCCCACTCCATGGTAGTAAGAACACACAACATGCAGGCACAGAGGTTGACCTGTGTTACAATAGCATTCCATGACAACATACCTGGAAGGATTTTGTTTAATGGAGCAAATGTCGAAGAGGAAGCACAGTAATGTGTGTAAAATCTAGGGCAGAAACAGATGTTATAGAAAGCTAATTATGAAGAAGCAAGGCTTCAGTGACTGAATTGTGTGTCACTGCACAAGCGTCTCTCACCTCTCATTTGCTTCATTTCGTGACTGATCTTTAGGACTCGAGCAGAGGATTCGTTTGAATTCTGGTTTCTCAGAGACAAAAGACTGCCTTCGATGCTGACATGCTTTCAGCTTCTAATAGTGAGCTGTCTATAACATCTGTTTCTGTCCTTAGCTCCCCCCCCCCAAGTAGGTTCAGTATTGGGGCAGGGGGGAGGTAAGAAACACAAAAATTCTTTCTGCCTAAAAGCAATGACAGCAAGCACCATCCAAGTGCACAGATCAACCTGATGCAGATTTTGGAAAATCCACATGGATAGTGATGGGGAAACCGTTGCACATAATGCTAAAGTATGGTTTACTGATGAGT